CCCCAAAACCCCAAAACCCCAAAACCCCATAGGATCATTATTTGCAGATAATAGATATTATGGAATTATGAATAAGTCAGGTTAAATGTTTGTTAAGAAATAAAATTCCTTTAGATATGTCAATCTTGACATTAATAACTTATAAACTCAAATCTTACCACTGAAAACTTCCATCTTAGTTGATTCAGTATATAAAGTAAAATCTTCATTTTACTCACTTTAAAAATCTAGTAAAGCCTTAAATTTTTCGTAATCTGGGCTTGCTACTTATACTGACACATAAGAATTTTTAATATTGTCGATGATAAAGTATAATGTATCATGAACTGCTAGGCCAAAGTGAAAATAATCAAAAAAAAGGCGCTCCTCATTGCCTCTATCTCCATAGAATGGAACTTCAGCATAATTCTATTTAATTACTTTTTTAGAGGAAAATCCTAAAATTGCTGACATTTTTTCGTCAATGACAACGCTTGTGTTTCGATGAACAAATTCTTAAGTAGGATTTTTCAATAAATCTTTTCCATCTCTTACATAACCACCGATGCTTCCTATTGAGCCGTTAGCATTTATACTTGTCTGAACAAATATTAAATGATCCTTTCCAGCACATTGAATATCCAAAGGGTCAGAATCCACTGTAAGAGTTTCAGAATCATAGCACTTTTCGAATCCAGTAAAATTAACAGGATTAAGTGCAGTTTACAGCCATTTGAAATCATCATTACTCAGAATATTAGATTAAGGAAAAAGTCCATGTGCAACTGAACTTTGAATATACTATGCCTCATTTTATTAGCCCACTTGTGATGAAAGACTTAGAAGTCCTTTTGAGTCAACAATAGCGACTGAGATTTCGTTATAAGCAGAGAGGCAAGTTCCCTCAGCTCCATTAATCTTGTACCATTTTTTAGTCACGGTTTACCACTTTATTAGCTAGTGATCTTTAGAATCACTTTTTTGGAGTGCCCAAAGTGAACCGTCAATACCTGCGCTAATGCTTTCAAGCTTTTCACTTCCGTATATTACATCAACAGTACCATCAGCTTATATAAAGATGGGCTAATCTTTGATCAAAGTGAGACCTTTGTAACCAGTGAGAGCTTTATAAGAGTACTTGGTATTACCAGCGACTATATGGTAAGCGTCAGATAGTTTATCTGAGGGAAGTGATATAGTTCCATTATGTAGTCCAATAATTTCTTTATTCACAGTAACCTCAAAGTCAGATAAGCCACAGACCAACTAAACCTTGTCTTAGTTAAGGACACAATCATTCGGGGTAAGATAGTAAATGTTACTTAATCTATCGAATCTGACAGCCTTTGCTTAGAAATCCTTGTCAGTAAGACTCCACACATTTGATTGGATGTCATAGTGGTACACCATGTACTTAGTGCT